TGTGGAAATACAACTCAACGTTAAAGGAAATATATTTTTTATCAATATTCCCATTTCAATTTTAAAACAGGCGAGTTACAACTTGAATAAATAATATTTTGTTCTGGAAAGTTTTAAAARAAATTAAGCATTTTGTGATCGATTACCTACTACACACTTCGTACACAATAAAAATAAAATGTTGAATTCATATAATTTCAGTTAATAATGGGAGGACAACTGTTCCTGTTAATAGCCAACATAGTGCTAATTGCCCAACAAACTCAGCACACAACAGCAAAAAAGTTACGTGAGTAAATTAAATATATTTTCTACCAACAAACATTCAATAACAATTGAGAATAATCGATGTACGAAATCTTATTATGTCAAATTTAAATTAATATATTATTACTTATTTTATACACTTACATAGGTATGATAATTAAGTATGTTTTGAATATATTTAAACTAATATACCTAATAGCATTTAAATTTTTCAGCCAACTTCGTACACGTGTGTAAAAGAACTGATCCTCAGATAGAAAAATGTTTACTGCAAACTATCGAATCCATAAGACCCGAGTTACCTAATGGTAATTTATATATTCAATATTGTGCTTATAAGATGAGATTTCAATTCATTTATTTATTTACGGTTTACATTTTGCATAATACAAATTAGTTTTAAATTAAATTAATCTTTATATAGGAATACCAAAAATGCAAATCCCAGCTTTGGAACCAATGGTCATACCCATGTTGGTAGTAAACAGAAATGAGGATGCTCTTAAAGTTAAAGCTACTATTAAAGATGTACAAGCATGGGGTGGATCTAAATTTGTGATCAACAATCTMAAGTAAGCATTTCAATTGTAATTGTATTGAATAGAGCCTACAGATAAGTATTATTCATTTTTATACCTTCTTATTTTTAACTCGGTACTCATWATTACTGTGAAACGCCCAAAACGTTGACATACGTGTATTCGTTATTTAATATTTATACCACATTATATCATTAATATACCTCATATTATCGTAGCATTTGCTTTTAAGTTTTAACAAGCAATAGTACATTTTCACAATAATATAATTTTAAAATAATAATTCACCTGTGCATTAAGATAATTTAAAAAGATCTGATTCGATTTCGCGTTAAATGTGTTTTCTTATTTAACAAAAACGTTATGCTTACTGGAAATTAATTTAAATGTTAGTATAGTTAATAAAATTTGATTTAAAAATTAAAAGTTATACGCTGATGTTTCTTTTATTTCTTAATCAGGGGCGTCATTTGGGGTATTGCAGAATGCAGGGTATACCAATGCATACCAAAAATTTATCAATAAGATGCATTTTGACCTGACAATAATTTTTCTGTGCTGGGAAAAAATTATCC